CACCCAGAGTTAGGAAGTTCCTGACCTTACATATTAATAGTTATTTTCAATCAGGCTTACTTCTGTTAGCCAGTCTTCACTTCTCACGAATGTGTTAGTTAAAATCAATTTTTCATAACAGCTAGAAGAGGGTAATTTGAGAGTAGATTTGGTTTCTGTATCTTCAAGTTATCTACACACTTCTGATTGAATTTTGTTAAAAATATATGCTATTTGTTGTTGTTCAGTCACTAAGTCATGTCGGACTCTTTGCGACCCCATGGACTGCAGCATGCCAGTCTCCTCTGTCTTCCACTGTCTCCTAGAGTTTGCTCAAATTCATGTCTTGAGTTGGTGTTGCTATCTAACCATCTCATCCTCTTTTGCCCCCTTTTTCTTTTGCCTTCAGTCTTTCCCAGCATCAGGGTCTTTTCCAATGAGTTGGCTCTTCACTTCAGGTGGCCAGAGTATTGGAGCTTCAGTTTCAGAGTCAATCCTTCCAATGAATATTCAGGGTTGATATCCTTTAGGATTGACGGGCTTGATCTCCTTGTAATCCAAGGGACTCTCAAGAATCTTCTCCAGCACCATGATTTGAAAGCATCCATTCTTCAGCACTCAGCTGCCTTTATGGTCCAACTCTCATATCCATACATGACTACTGAAAAAAACTGTAACTTTGACTGTATGGACCTTTGTTGGTAAAGTGATGTCTCTGCTTTATAATACACTGTCTAGGTTTGTCTTGAGCTTTCCAGGTGGCTCAGTGGTGAAGAATCTACCTGCCAATGCAGGAGGCTTGCATTTGATCCCTGGGTCGGGAAGATCCCCTGGAGGAGAGCATGGCAACCCACTTCAGTATTCTTGCCTGGATAATCCCATGGACAGAGGAGGGCTACAGTCCATGGGGTCGTAAAGAATCAGACGCGACTTGAGTACACATGCTTGCAGTAGGTTTGTCATAACTTTCCTTCCAAGGAACAAGTGTCTTTTAATTTCATGGCTGCAGTCCCCATTCACAGTGATTTTGGAGCCAAGAAAATAAAATATGTCACTCCTTCCATGTTTTCCCCTTCTGTTTGACCAGATGCCATGATCTTGGTTTTGTTAATGTTGAGTTCCAAGCCAGTCTTTTCATGCTCCCTTTTCACCCTCATCAAGAGGCTTTATGGTATCTCTTCACTTTTTGCCATTAGCATGGTATCTGCATATCTGAAGTTGTTGCTATTTCTCCTAGCAGTCTTGATTCCAGGTTGTGTTTCATCTAGTCCAGCATTTTGCATGGTTTACTCTGCATATAAATTAAATAAGCAGGGTGACAATCCCTTGTCGTACTCCTTTCCCAGTTTGGAACCAGTCAGTTCCATGTCTGGTTCTGACTGTTGCTTATTGACCTACATACAGGTTTCTCAGAAGACAGGTAAGGTGGTCTGGTATTCTCATCTCTTTTAAGAATTTTCCGGTTTGTTGTGATCTACAAAGTTAAAGGCTTTAGCATAGTCAGTGAAGCAGAATTAGATGTTTTTCTGGAATTCTGTTGCTTTTCCTATTATCCAGTGGATGTTGGCAGTTTGATCTCTGGTCCCTCTGCCTTTTCTAAACCCAACCTGTACATCTGGAAGTTCTCAGTTCACGTACTGTTGAAGCCTAGCTTGAAGGATTTTTGAGCATTACTGTGCTAGCATGTGAAATGAATGCAATCATATGGTAGTTCAACATTCTTTGGCCTTGCCCCTCTTTGGGATTGAAATGAAAACTGACCTTTTCCAGTCCTGTGGCCACTGCTGAGTTTTCTAAATTTGCTGACATTTTGAGTGTGGCACTTTAACAGCATCATTTTTTAGGATTTTAAGTAGCTCAGCTGGGGTTCCATCACCTCCACTAGCTTTCTTTATAGTAATGCTTTCTAAGGCCCACTTGACTTCACACTCAAAAGATGTCTGGCTCCAGGTGAGCAACCACACCATTGTGGCTATCTGGGTCATTAAGGCCTTTTTTTGTGTCGTTCTTCTGTGTATTCTTGCTGTCTCCTCTTAATCTTTTCTGCTTCTGTTCGGTCCATACTATGTCTGTCCTTCATTGTGTCTGTCCTTGCATGGAATGTTCTCTTGATATCTCTCATTTTCTTGAAGAGATCGCCAGTCTTTTTCATTCTGTTGTTTCCCTGTTTCTTTGCGTTGTTCTCTTAAGAAGGCCTTCTTCTGTCTCCTTGCTCTCCTCTGGAGCTCTGTGTTCAGTTGGTATATCTTTTCCTTTCTCCTTTGCCTTTCACTTTTCTTCTTTCCTCAGCTATTTGTAAAGTCTCCTTAGGAACCACTTTGCCTTTTTGCATTTCTTTTTCAGTGACTTTGGTCACTGCGTCCTGTACAGTGTTGCGAACCTCCATCCATATTCTTCAGGCACCCTACCAGATCTGATTCTTATCTATTCGTCACCTCTACGGACTACCCTGTAGCTCAAATGGTAAAGAATCTACCTGTGAGGCAGGAGACCAGGGTTTGAACCCTGGGTTGGGAAGTTCCTCTGGAGAAGGGAATTGCAATCCACTCCAGTATTCTTACCTGGAGAATTCCATGGACAGAGAAGCCTGGTGGGTTACAGTCTGTGGGGTCACAGAGTTGGACATGACTGAGTGACTAACACACTTTCGTCACCTCCACTGTATAATCATAAGGGGTTTAATTTAGGTCATACTTGAATGTCTAGTGGTTTTCCTTACATTCTTCAGTTTAAGCCTGAATTTTACAAAAAGCAGCTGATGATCTGAGCCAGTGAGCTTCAGGTCTTATTTTTGCTGACTGTATAGAGCTTTTCCCATTTAGTGGTGTCCATGTGTAGAGTTGTCTCTTGGGTTGTTGGAAGATGGTGTTTGCTATGACCAACATGTTCTCTTGACAAAACTGTTAGCCTTTGCCCTGCTTCATTTTGTACTCCAAGGCCAAACTTGCCTGATAACTCCAGTTATCTCTTGATTTCTTCTTTTTATATTCCAGGCCCTATGATGAAAAGGACATCTTTTTTTGGTGTTAGTTCTAGAAAGTATTGTAGGTGTTCTATATTTGCTATAGAAGTAACTTTTAAGACCAGGATATCTAATGCTTCCATTTTATGTAAGTTCAAGGGATGATATTTTCTTTACAGTATGGTTATTTTGAATATCCTTCTTCTAAAAAAAGTTGAACTTTTGGGATCCTTAAATGGGTTCCCAGGGAAAATGTTTTCTAACTTTTTAACAAGTATAGGATTTTGGAGGGAAAGATTGTTCAGTTTTAGGGTTACTTTTTGATACTTGCGTTAAATAACTCTAATATTAAATCTAAATTGAATATATGTCCATTGTTTAAATTTTATTCCTTTGCAAAATGTTATTATTTCTTCATTATGAATTGTGACATCACTTAAATTGAAAAAACGTTTTGTTTTTCTTGGGTGGTTTTTCAATTTCAGAGCTCTCTGTAGGTACAAGATAATCATATAGACTTCCCAACATGTAGGCACTTGAATTCATCTGCAGTGAATAATGTCATTTTCTGTTCTGTTGCTCAATTACTTGTTTCCTGGAATGCTTCACAGTTCAGGCTTATTAGTATCGCAAATCTTGGCTCATTATAGTTCTTAATGTTGTTAGTCTGAATGGCGTATTTTCTGTTTTCAGATGTATTCTTGATAGAACGTTTCCTAAGCAGAAATTTTGCTGTTTTAAAATAGAAGAACCGTAAAACTAAGGTCTGACATTTTATTGCATTGGTCTCTTAAGGGGCAGTGTTTACTCAGCCAGTATTGAGTGAGCGCCTGTTGTGTCAGGTTCTGCACTTAGACACAATGCCTGCACTTATGCAGGCTTATATTCTAATGTATAGAAAAAGGTTATAAAATCCTTTATTATTAGTTTGGTTTTTTGGCTGTGCCACGCAGCTTGCATGATCTTAGTTCCCCAACTAGGTGTCAAACATCAACCTTGGCAGTGAAAGCACTAAGTCCTAACCACTGAACCACCAGGGAATCCCCACAAGTCTTTCAAATAAAGTCCATCTAAGTGCTGGAAAGTAGAAGTGCAGTGTTCAGTGAGATTAACAGGGGACCAAATCTGGGGAAGGAGGTGGGACTCAAGTTCAAGCTTGAAGGAGTTTGGTTTGGCACATGGTGAAGATGGGATGCATAGAACTATAAAGATAGAAGAGATTTTTATGTTTATTAAAAGTACAGTTAGTTACTTGTAGATGTTGTTTATTGAAACTTTTAACAGTTTTTATAGAGGAGGATTTGGTAAGCTTTAGATTTTACAAGAATGGCACTTGGAAGGCTTGTTGGAAATAACCAGTAATAGCTTGCCAAGAAGTGAAGTTACTTATGTCAGAGAAGATCTCTGAGCTGTTGCTGGATTTCTTTCCTAAAGGAAAGATGACTGATGGTGTTCTTTAGCATTAATGCTCTAGTGGTCAGTAATTCATAATTACCACTATCAACACTTCATCTTTCAAACTTTATTGCCAGGACTAATTCAGAAATGTTTTTCCTTTCCAAATCTTCAAATTAACATTACTTTAGAATATTACACTGTGCTGATTCAGGGCTTTAAGCACATACACTAGTATTCTAATTCAAGAACCTGAAAAATTTATAGAACAGTTAGAAATTTAGTAACTTACTTTAGAAACAGTGGTTGAGTCAACTGGGAATATGAGTTGAAGAATGTAATTTTGCTGAGAATCAACTTGTTATTTAATAGTTTTAACTATTCATCAATTGTGTATGATTTTGGCATCTTAGAATGTAAAAAGTTGCTCAGACTATTTATAATCATTAAGTAGACTTCCAACAGAACACCCCAAAGTAACTCTTAAAGGTTATCAATAATCAGTTATTAGGAATTAAATTATATAGAGAAGTATTTTAGAAATCCTCTTGTAAATGACAAGTGCAATATATTAAGTTTGTAGGTAAACACTTAAAACTTTATATGTGTGCATATATGTCTTTGTTATGTGTAGAATTAAAATACTTTTTTCTCTTGACAGGAAATGCACAATTTTGAGGATGAGTTAACATGTCCCATTTGTTACAGTATTTTTGAAGATCCTCGTGTACTACCATGCTCTCATACATTTTGTAGAAATTGTTTGGAAAATGTGCTACAGGCATCTGGTAACTTTTATATATGGAGACCTTTACGCATTCCACTCAAGTGCCCTAACTGCCGAAGTATTATTGAAATCGCTCCAAGTGGTATTGACTCTTTACCTGTTAATTTTGCATTAAGGGCTATTATTGAAAAGTACCAGCAAGAAGACCATCCAGATATCATCACCTGCCCTGAGCATTACAGGCAGCCCTTAAATGTTTACTGTCTCCTGGATAAAAAATTAGTTTGTGGTCATTGCCTTACCATAGGTCAGCATCACGGTCATCCTATAGACGACCTTCAGAGTGCCTATATGAAAGAAAAGGACACCCCTCAAAACCTGCTTCAACAGTTAACTGACGCACACTGGACAGATCTTACTTGTCTTATTGAAAAGCTGGAAGAACAAAAATCTCATTCAGAGAAAATGGTCCAAGGTGATAAGGAAGTTGTTCTCCAGTATTTTAAGGAGCTTAGTGATACATTAGAACAGAAAAAAAAAATTTTCCTAACAGCTCTTTGTGATGTCGGCAATCTGATTAATCAAGAATATACTCCACAGATTGAAAGAATGAAAGAAATAAGAGAGCAGCAGCTTGAATTAGTGACACTGACAACATCTTTACAAGAAGAGTCTCCACTTAAATTTCTTGAAAAAGTTGACGATGTCCGTCAACGTGTGCAGATCTTGAAACAAAGACCACTTCCTAAGGTCCAACCTGTTGAAATTTATCCTCGAGTAAGCCAAGTATTGAAAGAAGATTGGAGCAGAACAGAAATTGGACAAATTAAGAAACTTCTCATTCCTGAAATGAAGATCTCTTCAAAAAGGATTCCCTGTGCCTGGCCTGATAAAGAGGAAAAAGTTGAATTTTTTAAGATTCTAAACATTGTTATAGTTACACTAATTTCAGTGATACTGATGCTGATCCTCTTTTTTAACCAACACATAATAACCTTTTTAAATGAAATCACTTCAATATGTTTTTCTGAAGTCTCTCTCTCTGTTTACCAAAGTTTATCTAAGAATGTGCACAATTTAAAGAATATACTATGTCACACTGTGTATTTACTGAAGGAATTCATGTGGAAAATAATTTCTCATTGAACATTCTAATCTGGATTATTTAAGTAGGCTTATTCTGTACAGCAGAGGCTAATGACCGTCGCAAGAGGAATATAGGGGCAGCGTGGATAAATAGCAAGGTAAAGTTTGTTAGAATTGCAACAAAAATAAATAATCCCTTTCATGCTTCTGTTGAATACAAAACATGTCATCAGAAGTTAGAAATGAGACAGAATGTCTGGTTTTCTGAAAACCAGAACAAAATCCAGTGATAACTTAAGTATTAATACATTATCCCATTTTTATCGGTTTGTAAGGTTGACTTACTGTTACAACATTCTCATACCAGTAGTGTTTTAGCATTATATATTGCAGTGTGGTTGGCTTTGCAGTTCTTTGTGTATAGTTTTTAATTAAAAGATGTCAAAATCCCGAAAGATATAAACTAGACACTTTTGAATGGGCAAATAGATGGTGAGAAGAGGTTTTATATTTAAGTAGCTAAGTCAAAGTGACAGGGGATTGCTTATGTTAAAGATACGTTTGATCAAATGTACCTGATCCACACATATAGTGTTTTAGATTTAAGCGCCTAGTTTCTGTAACATTCCCAATAAAACTGTTGCTTTTGGAAATCTAAAGTGTTTTTAGGGACAAAACAGTAACATTTCCTAGCACTTACTGTCCTATGATTCATGTACATTTTAGGATTGTATTGTATTGATATTTGACTTTTGTGTGGTTTTTGTCTTATTAGTCATATCAGTTCTTGGGAAATATTGATATGTCCCACCCTCATTATGTTTGGATGGCATCATGTTAACTATATGTCTTTAAAATTGTCTTAAATTTCCTAGTTATCTTAAGCTAATGCCAAAGCACCAATAATTTGATGTTATTTTCTTGAATTGTAAGGGGCGTCTGCCTAGCTACCTAAGTCAAATCCCTTTGATGTAGTTCCCTTTTTGTTAACAAGGACTGAATTGTGGTCCTGGTAGGACTATTGACACTTTTGTCCATGCAACCCTAAGTACAAGCTCACTTGCCCAAATTCCAAGTTGGCTGTAGTTTTAGACAGCGTGTTTAGGAGCTGCCTGCTCACCGTCCTACAGGTGGCTGTAATCAGGGCACCAGTTCCAGAATATCCTAAGACTTAGACCTTATCTGCTGAGAACAAGTCTGAACATTAAAGATGGCTGGCTATACTAAGTTCATGATCAGAATATCAAAATAGCACAACTATTATTGTTGTGTGGCAAAGAACATTTGGAGGTAGATGTGTATACAGCTACACACCAAATGAAGACTGGAGTTGCACTGACTTGATCAAAGTTAAGACACAGAAACGCCACATACTTTTTGCAATACATACAATTAATCTCATTTCTGAATTAAGTATTAATCCTTGCTTTTTTGTGTATTAGGAAACAGATAAAATTGTCCAAAGCCATTTATTTAGTATGAGACCCATATATTTTTTTAAGAGTTCACCTGTTGTGTTACCTTTAAAGAATTTAAACCAAGATTTTTACTAGGATTTCTAACATGTCTATGAATCACAGCTAGAAATGGAAACATTTTAGGTTTGACATTCATTTTTAATAACTTGCCAATTTTCAGTAAATAATACTTTTACATAAATTTTATGTAGGCTGCATGAATAATCCAATATACAAATAACTGACTCTTTTCCATGCTCTTCTGTTTTGTATTTTTGAGGATGGGATTGTAAAATTTAAAGTATATAATCTTGAGATATTTCTAAGTTTTTATGTGTAACAAAAGTTTACATTGTAATAAACTCATTTGGATCTTTGCATTGAGTGGCTAAATAAGGTGCTGAAACTCAGAGGTTGCTTTGGAATTTTCTTAATGGGCTATGGGCATTATCTACTTTAACTTTTTAAAAGCACTACACTTTTCCATTAGTTATGAAAATATTAAATTCATCTCTGTTCTCACCAATGAAAAGACCTTGATTATACCGATACTTTTTTCTAGTTACCTTTCCCTTGTATAATCTTGACTTTATAAACAAATGACCATACTTGAATTTTAGATCTTACTTTATTTAAGTCCGTGCTAATGTATTTACATCTTACTGATTATGATACAGACTTTGTTGGGTTTTAGTACCTAAACAATAATGCACTATGAATAACAAGGTTATTTTTACAAGGTTATTTTAAATTTTAATTCTCAGGCTATCTAGAAACTGAATAGCTTAGACCAGACTTCTGATTCAATACCAGGATTTTTTCTGAAAATGAAGTGGTTGCCATCATATGGTTATTTTAAATTTTAATTCTCAGGCTATCTAGAAACTGAATAGCTTAGACCAGACTTCTGATTCAATACCAGGATTTTTTCTGAAAATGAAGTGGTTGCCATCATATTTCCAGTAGTATATTCTTGAGCTAATGCAGTGTAACAATAACAAGAAAGCCTTCTGACTTGATGGACAAACAGTACTGCAACCTAATTTCCATTTATACAAAAGAAATTAACCCTTATACACTTAAATCATTCTTTTTCTGAAGCAACTATAGTGGGTATTTTTCCTTTTCAACCCACTCAAGTTATTTCAGACATTTGCTGGCCCTTACACAAGTGTTTAAACAGTCAAGCACATTAGTTTAAGAATGTATAATACTCAAATTCTCATTCTTACAATTCAGAATGACTGGTTTAACAAGATTTAGTTTACAACTGTACTATTCATCAAGAATGTACTTTTAACTCTGCAGGTAGCACTGTGGAACTAAGGGGAAGTTATCTGACTGTCCAGGCATCTTATTTTCTCCATAGTTTGCCACTTACAAAATTGTCAGATTCTTACAATCTCCTAGAAACAGGCATATGGAGAATATTTTATTAAACTTGTAACATCTCTTAATTAAGAGCATAAAATAGAAACTATGATACAATTTAATAGCTATTTTATATAATTTATATCCTTTACAAATAGAAAGTAAATACAATATGTTGAATCTATGGTAAGATTTTGAAAAATCTTCAGATTAAGCAAATTTAGCAAAGTTCTTTAGATGCAATTTCTTTTGGGTTTACTGCAACACTTTTTGTTATATTGTATGTCTTGTAAATTCCAATAAGTCTATCTGAAATCTCAAACATATTATTTCGAAGAGAAATTATTATGAACTGGGCATTTTTTGTTTGTTCCTAAAGAGAAAAAAACAGAATAAATTAGAAATATTATACATATATATGTAAATGTATGAATCATAATAAAGATCTAACTTTTCTTACCTAAAATATTTCTTAGGCAATAAATTGAACATGACATTGATAATTAATGTGAACAAGAATGACAACATGGATAATTCATGAGATAGTATCTGGGTTAGAGAAGAACTCAGGTATTTGGAAGGATAGTTGCCTAGTAGAAGTCTTCTAGTAGAAAAAAGATCTGGGAAAAGAAAAAAGTTCTACCTGTGTTTTTCTGCTACTAATTTACATTTATATTTTACTTTACCAAAATGGAACTATTTCGCTCAAATAAAATGGTCTCTTTTAATACCATGGGAGTAGAGAATGGCAAAAGCTCGAAAGAATCCAAATAATTCTATGTGTAATGTTTAGGGAACACACATAATTCTCAGAATGAAAAGCTCTAGATGATTACTTACATATATGTAAAATGCAACAATAGAAACATTTTTGAAATCAAGGGCTGCGTCAATCTCATCCATGAAGTAGAGGGGAGTGGGTTTATAGTGATGAAGAGCAAACACTAAAGCCAATGAACTAAGTGTTTTCTCTCCTCCTGAAAGGTTGAAGATCTTCTTCCAACTTTTCTTAGGTGGTCGAACACTGAAATAATTAAGAAAATCTCGTCATTTAAATTACTTGTAAACCTAAATTAAGACTCCATGATTTGCTTCCTGTAATTGGCTTCTACCACCTTCCTTAGAAATACCTAACTTGCTTTTTCATAAATATAAATTATTGGTGGGTTATTTTATAAAAATATTATTGGAGGATGAACACATAAGAACACCCAACGAAAATTTAAGATTTAAACAGTAGATCAGTAAGTCAGTCTTGCTAGTCTTCCTATTTCCCATGAATACTGGAGTGGGTAGCCTATTCCTTCTCCAGGGGAACTTGCTGACCAATGAGCTGAACCAGGGTCTCATGCATTGCAGGTGGATTCTTTACCAGCTGAGCTACACAGGAAACCTGTAGGCAAACTAGTATTTATCAAATAAAATATGCTGTAGACTTAACTGTCATATCCCACCCCTAAAGAATACTAAGTTTGGGGAATATGTACAGAGATGTTAACAGAGAAATCCAAAACTTGGTATATGACATCATTACAAACCTGAACGTGATTCCTTCAGAGAAAGGATCCATGCTGTCTACAAGGTCCAGCTCAGCATCACCTCCCAAAGTAAGCATTTGGTAATTTTCCTTTAATTTATTTGTTATTATATAAAAACCTGCCATGAATTCATTAAGTCTTTGTTTTCGAAGATCTTCATATGCCTGTCTAAAATTATCTCTTTCATTAGTAATTTTATCCAATTCTGCTACCCGTTGTAAATATAATTCTTCCTATGAAAAGAATATGAGAAAAACACGGTATACATTTGACATGAGAATTAAAACTGCTAATTATATAATAAAGGCGTAACAATTTAGGCTAAGGACTGAAGAGACTTTCTGACCATTACACATGAGTCGTTTACTTGTACCTTCTTTTTATAATCTGCAATGGCGCCAAGATTTGGTTTCATTTCATGACACTGGGCTTCCAAAACTGCAATTTGATTTGTTATAGAATCTGGGTTCTTGACTGCTTCAAGCTCTTCTGGGCTTAGAACTGGAACCTTTTCAACGTGATTATCTTCTATGGGATGCAGTGATATTTTTGAAATCTACAAAGTTGGATGAATATTGGAAAATGCAGTGTTACAATTCATTGTTTCAAAAAAACCCTCCCAGGGACTTCACTGGTGGTCAAGTGGCTAAGAGGCTGCCTTACAATGCAGGGGATGTGGGTTAGATTCCTGGTTAGGAAATTAGCATTCCACATGCTACAGAGCAACTAAGCCCAGGTGCGACAGCTAGAGAGTTCATGCACTGTGATAAGAGATCCTGCATGGAGCAACTAGGACCTGACAGCCAAATATATTAAAAAAAAAAAAAAAAACACACATGCAAATTTAAGACAAATGACCAGAACGACATATAATAAGAAGTGGTGACTCATTTGTATATCAACTATTTTTCAAAGGACTTAAAAAAAAAATAGTTGTAGTGCTCAAGTGTTCATGTTCAACCTCTATATCAGCCCTGGGATGAAAATGTTGACTAATTCTAACCATTACTCTTATTTTTCTGTATATAATAACTCCTATATACTGTTCATTTTGTTCCCTATAAACCTGAGATGTGATTATATAGCCTGAAATTAAGAATTACAACATACTTCAAAAACACAAACCCCAACTTTTTTCATAAAGGGTATTTTAAATTTATACTTGACTAACAATTCTCACCTCTTTTTGCCAATATTTTATTTTACAATTATGTTCACCAATGTGACCATCTATTTGTTCAAGTTTCAACTTAATACTAAGTGCATCTTTTTGGAGAGCATGTTCATTTTCCTGAATTACTTTTAGTTCTTGAAGTAGGTTTCGATGTTCTTTCTGAATTTCTGGTAAGGATGCCTAGAAAACAAAAAAAGCTGCTATAGATATGATCTCAGAATAGGGATTTTCACATTACAAAGATGAAGTCAGCACTCTCGCCTCATGCCTCTTTCACTTTAAAGAAAATGTTTTTATTTACAGTAAGTTAAAAGTCATTTTTTATTACACAGATGGAAGTTAATATAAGTGTAACCTACTGAATGCTTACTACACAAGGTACTGCTGTCATCCATAATTCTCTACTGCTTCAAATAGCACCCTCTCCCCATCTTACCTCTGCATCATTTGTATTCTTTACAACCTCTGCTGCTTTGTCTTCAAGACTTTTTAGCTCTGTTGTTAAGTCATCTACTTCTTTCTCAGTATCTTTTATTTCTTTCTCTGTACGTAAGACACTGTCTTGTGCTTTTTTAAGATTTCTAAACAAGCAAAATCTTATATTAAAAACTTTTCATGACATTAATGTCACAGTTTTCGATCAGATTTAAAACCTTATGTTTAAAAAAACAACATGTTTTACTAAAAATCTTTCAATTGATTTTTATGTTTGTACACACATTTGTGGGATGTTGTATATTTTATTAAACTCTCAAATTAATGAAACTTCCTTATATAAAATTTTAGTTTCATTCAATCTTAAGACTATGAAGCAAAATTGTCCATTGTATTATTATAGTCTTGTCATTTTCTTGTCAGACTGGAGGTTCTTAAATCTTTAACTCTTGAAACTGTATCTTCAAGTAAATTACTTCCTGGTTCAAGTCAGGGAAAGTAAGTGTTTTGGGCAGAGGGAGGGGAGGAAATGGGCAAAGGACACCAGGGATGACAATGACACACACACACACAACTATTTTCCCCTGTGACTGATACCTGTGTTTAGGTAAAACACTGCTTATTAATTAGCACCTTTTAACAAAGGACACTGCAATAACTGAATAACCAGATAAACACTATGCAACCAATTTATAATTCTAAGACAAACAGCTGTTTACATTTCAACACTGTATACATACTGTGCTTTATTTTAGAATACAAAATTTAAAACAAGACTTGTATTATGAATGTATTAAAAACTTTTTGGGACAATGGAATAATCTAAAATTTTCAGTTACTAAAACAATTATGCTAATAGATCTCATCCTTCTTATTCTCCTAAGACCTAGATCTATTTAAATGAATCACCACCTAATCCTCTAAACCAGAGAAATGAAACTCTAACTTCTATGTCCTCACAACTGTGGAGTTACATAACCACATTTTGGTAAGCCATACCTGTTTTATCAGTTTTTACAAACTAATCATATAATAAATGTTTATTATTGGCCTCCACCTATTAAAATCCTACTAGGTAACAATGTCAGATCTTAATAAGTAACAGGAAACATTTATTAGACATTAAATTTAAATATTAATCCTTTTCAGTGTGATGTAGGGAAGAGGAAGACAGGGTAGTATGCAAACTCTACCTGTCAGCAGTCTTGATTGCCACTTGTGCCTTAGTAATAGCAGAAGCACATTCATCTAATTGCTTATTTATTTTATCAAGTTTGTCTTGTTGAGCCTTGAGTTTATGGTTATTGATTTCTACGATGATATTGTGTAACCTTTTAACCTCAGCTTCCACTTTACCAGCTCTCTCAGCCACATTGTTATACTCTGGGGGATAAAAAAAGTAAAATTAATTTGTGTTTCTACACTAATAAGCATCATTTGTTAGATGCATTCAATAAACTTCTTCAGTCAATACAACTTAACCTGATGCATGCAAAAGAAACTTTAAACATTTGAGGAAAAGGGCCTCAAAAACAAAGCAAAACCCCAAACACAAAACCAGAATGCCCTATATGAAAACAAATGGTGTTACAACAACATATAGTTAATTCTTTGGCTCAGCTGTGAACATAACCCATATTTCTTAATGGCTTCATACTGTGAAGCTCTTTACAGAAGTACTTTGACTATTTGTCTCATAATGATTTTTTACCCTTAGACTCTGTACCCAACTACAGACTGGGGGTGAAGAAGCTGTGGTTATTTAATTCTGCTAACCCTCGAATTCTCTTCTCTATAACAAAGTGGGGGAGACAGAATAAAGTGGCACTTTTCTCTGTGGCACAGAAGGCTCTTAAGTTGTACTTCCTAGATTCCCTTGTACCTAGTGTTTAGACATAAATTTAAGTCCATTCTATCAAGAAAAATTCATACAATTTGGATGGCAAAAGTGATGAACTGAGCATGTTTCTGCTGGAAGTCATGGAAAAGTTTTCTTGGTGGCAGTAGAGAATCTGATGTTCTGTCAAGAGTTTTGTGAAAACTGACAGGCAATGGCATTAACTTTTATGGGGTAGATTATAATAGGTAACAATGTGCTTCTGCTGTTGGCAGTTAATAGTGTCATCTTCCTACTTTGAGAGATGGCTTTTCAATTGTAGAAGAGGCGGTATAGTTTCTTTCATGGTTTTGCAGAGTAGCGCTGGAAATTATTCTTAGCGTTTTAACATAGAATTTAAGTTATCACAATGATCTTATAAACAATCATTTTCTCTTAAATGCACATTCCTGCACCAAAAATCCTATTTACACTAGCCAGAGTGGATTCTGTTCTCCATACCTGAACCCTAATCATTATATGACGTAGGAAAGATGAAAGGTGGCAAAAAGGTAAGGGGTTCAAGCTATCTATACCTATGTCTAGAAAGGAAGGCAGATACCGTGCCAACTTATAGAAAGAAACTCCCATAAAGCTTCTGTGGGAGGTATGTAGCATTTAGCATAGAAGAAAGCAGGTAGGATTTGCTGAGAGGAAAAGACTTAACTGTTGTTTCCTCTTGACTGTCTATTCTCTGTTAGGTAAGAGGGAATTTCAATATTCTCCACATTTTACAATTATCTTTTTGTTCCACATTTATCAGAAAATTCTTTAGTCTGATTTTAAAAGCTCATCTAGTGAGTTTAATTAATTACAATGTCTATTTTTTGTATTTGAGATCACCACTTGATTTAAAAAAAAAAAAAAGCTAAACAAAACCCTGCCCCCTTTAGTCTTGTAACTCTCCCCTCTCCCTTAAAGATACTAAGATACTATATTTATTGAAAGAATTGTTTTGCTAACAGTGGCAAGTCTGTGCTCAGCTCCCTTGTGGGGTAGAGTGCCAGCTGCTGTGGGGTCATGGCGTCATGACTTACACTGGGATGGACCAAGTACGCAACTGCAAAGGGCTCCATTCTTCAGAACATCATTTTCCTTATTTTAAAGTACCTAACATGCAGTAAATTTCCCTGCCTACTTATAGTAGCATGTCTGTTAGAAATAGGAGGGGAAAATGAACATAATGTAATTTCTAATTTCAAAGTCACCATTTTATACCAGCTTGCTCCTTTTATTCTCCACACATTTGCCAGATTTTTAAAATCTAAATTAATGTAAAATGAAATATTTAATCTTAAAGATATGCTTGCATAAGTGGGCTTCCATATCAGACATTAAGTCTACTAATAATAACCAGTACTTCCACAAGAGGAGATATATATATATGGCTCCTAATAAAGTCTAAGGAGTCCTTTTCAAACTAAATACAAATTCTTGTAGTCTCTCAATGAGAGTGTTGTTATGAATGACAAAGATTTATTTTTTGTTTGACCACTAGGTTCCATCAAAGCAGTAACAAATACTGTAGGTACCCTGGGGAAGGAGCCCTGGGGAAGGAGGAGTAGGGTGAAGTCTGTGTCTGCAAGAACAAAATACAAATCCAAAATAAATGCAAGGGAAAAAAAGGTCTTGTCAGGTTATGTCACCTCCCTGTATATCACTCTGCAATGGCTTTTGATTTCCCCTGGAGACATGGCCTATGAGACTCTACATTATCTGGATTACTCTATCAGTTAATTCTAGGGATTCCTTGCTAGAAACTTCTGACATACTACTTCCTGCCCTAGGGTCTCTCCATTCTTCCTGGAATGCTCTTCTCCCACATTTGCACTCATACTTCCCTTGGGTCTCTGCTCAAATCTCTAGCAGTAGCCTGTCTAACCACTGTGTCTATCTGAATCCCCATCCGGTACCATTTTCCTGGTTTTACTTTTATCACCTAGTACCACCTGTTATAGTATGTGATCTATTTGTTTAGTTTCCTTATCTCTTAAGGGTGAATTCCTTGAAAAGAGGGACTTTATTTTGTTCACAGCTTGATCAATAGCATCTAAAACAAAGCTTGGTCAGTAGCAGATACTTTTTTGAGTGAATACCTCAGTATTAAAAATATAAATAAAAAAATATATAAATAAATATGACTACAAAAATAAATTCAGGTTTACATTAATATGCAATGTGCACAGTAGACATTGCTTACAATCTTTTCACTTCTTTTTCTTTTGCAAGAAAAGTCCCTTATTTTTTTAACATTTGGATAATTGCTCCAATTCTAGTCCATCTAATACTTATGGATGAACAATCAGTATTTGTCTTCCTTTGCTCATGAACCAGACTGTAAAAAGGGTCTGTCTTGATGTGATGAAGGCTGTGTTTCCTGGGGTCACTGAAATACTGCGCAACTCACCGTTACCTCCTCCTGCACTAAGATGATACCTATGTACATTTAACTGAAGCCAACATAAAGTGGGTTTCCCTGGTGGCTCAGATGGTAAAGAATCTGCCTACGATGTGGGAGACCTCTTCTCCAGGAGACCTTCCCCTGGAGAAGGAACTGGCAACCCACTCCAGTATTCTTGCTTGGAGAATCCCACGGACAGAGGAGCCTAGTGGACCATGGGATCACACAAAGAGTTGGATATGACTGAGTGACTAGATGACCTGAACATGGAAATAGAAGTGGGCTACTCAAGTACACGGCCAGAGGATTTTAATGTCAAAGCCAGTTCTGACTATAAGCCTATGAACTAATTCCCTTTCTTGTTGAGTAACTTTGGTAGAACACTTACATGTTTATATATACAGAGGAAAAAAGAAGTTCTGGAAAGAAAAATATATGTTCTTTAAGTTCTCATTAACAGCACAGGTATTGGAATCAGATTGCCTTCATCCTGAATTCCTATATCACCACCATATATTATGTGACCTTGAGCAAATTATATAAACCATTCTGTGCCTCAGTTTTCTTATCTGTCAAATGACATATTTAATTTATTAGTACTTACTTTATAACCATCTGAGGATGAAATAAAAATAAAAACCGTATAACAGTGGTCACTTGAATGTAATATATATACTCTACTATTTTTTATTCTACAAATTGTGATCTTAAACATTACAAATATTACAAACCTGTTTTTGACAATATAGGGGAAAAAGTCTGTATTTAAACATACCTGTCTTGAAAGCATTAACATTTTCTTCAAGCAATTTCTGCTGTTTTTTGTCAGGGACTGTAGCAAGTACATTAGCTTCAAGTTCCTTAACTTGGACATTCAAATATTCTTCTTGCTCTGATAAACGCTACAGAATGTTTTAAAATTCAAGGCCAGTATTTTAACTTACAAAAAATAATATTTGCTTTAAACATTTTTAAATTTAAAATTTAAATAGGTTCTTAAAATCTTTAAGAAAAACACAAAAACTAACAAGAAAAGGCAGAAAACATAAACAATAAATACAAAAATTGAAAATGGCCAACAAAACACATGAAATGTATAAATTCATTACAAAGACAAATTAAATGTTATTTTTTAGTGCATCCGTGTAGCAAACTTAGAAAATATTGAAGACTACTTAGTGTTCACTTAGAAAAATTATTTGCATATGCTACCAGTAGTAAATAAATGAGAACTTTTGGAGAACAATTTGGTGTTATGCACCAAATGCTTAAAAACATTGTACACATACTGGCTGTTAATTATAATTTTAGCACTAAGGAAATAATTGGATGAGCATATTAAGGTATGCCTAACAAGAATATTTAAAACATAGTGGTGTACACAGCCAACACAGAAAAACCTTTATCAAACTGTGGTACAAACTATGTCAATATAACTGCACACAAATTAAATTTACATTTGCTTGAAAAGGAAACTAATTAGTGAAGAAAAGTTACTATAAGACTATAAAAATCCATACGCAAATTTAGTAGGTATATCAACATCTACCACATACATAAACACATACAAGCAAACTAGATACTGCCACTAAAAGTTAAAGGCCATACACAAAAACTGAAGGTGATAATCTTTTGCGTATTTTCTAAAAACTTTCCTGGTTTGGTTTTTTTAAAGAGACTGTGGGCATGAAAAAAAAGACTGTGGGCATGCACTGCTTTTGTATAATTAAGAAAACTTTCCACTTTATAAGGAGAATAAAATAAAGGGTCATTGTTACAGGAAGACACATTTCTGTCAAGTCCAAATGGAAACCAGAAATAGCTATGGCTGGAGCAACATTGTGACAGGACCCTTATCATTAGTACTCAAGGAAACAAAAATCAACAGACCCTAACCCAACCTCCCCCTCCCCTTTATATTTTAAAAATTATAAGCAAACAATAAAATGCTTCTGCCAAATTGCTATTGAATTCCAACAGTTTCAGCTAATATTGGTAAAAAGGTACCTGGATGCTTGCAGAAAACTTTTCCAGTGTATTCCTCATTTCTCGTTCACTATGCCTTAACCTAAGTATTGCTTCTTCCAGTTGTACTTTCTGTTCCTGAATCTGCACTGCTTTTTGAGAGTCTCTCTGCAACTGTGATTCCATTTTATTTACCTACAAAGAAAAATACTAGTGAATTAAGTTTACTCCAACAAGAGTTATTTCAGATTAACAGCAATGTATGAAATGATGAAAACCCAAATTTCTGATCTTAAAGACTAGAAACAGGGAGGAAGGTTCAAGAGGGAGGGGACATATGTATACCTATTGCTGATTCATGTTGATGTATAGCAGAAACCAACACAACACTGTAAAGCAATTATCTTCCAATTAAAAAAGACCAAAAACACACCAAACACCCCAGTTTCAATTCTAAAACCTAATGCTTAGGAGATGGTCAACTAATTTCTGCATCACAGATCCAGGTGAAAAGACAATTTTAAGTGTTGTATAATCAATTATAGTTATAGTGAAGGCATACTATCCAAATACTTAAGAGGAAGAATATAAACTACTTCAGAACTTTAAGGAAGAAAGTAGTATAGTATTCTGATTGTGATAATGGAACATAGGTTTTTTTTGGGCATTTTGACATTCTATTTTACTTCTGGAAAAAAAATATTTTGAAATAAAAATCTGGAAACATATCAGAAGTCTTTGCTGTATTTACAATTTAAGTCATTATTTTGAAATACAAAAGATAATTATGTAATACAGCAGTAACTGTGAAGAAACAAATGTCAAACAATAAGTTAATAGTGAAATAAACTATATGATCCAAGTGTGGTAACAGAAAAAGATATGTTTTTGAGTACATACTTTTTAATTAACATATTTTTAGAACTTTAACAGGCTTCATATGAAATCCCACAGGTTATACACTAGCCATTTATAGCAAGTTCAACCTGTTAATTGAAAATATGATTACAGTACATTTAAAATAGTAGAATATTCTATAGTATGTTATGTATCAATAAAGCTGCTTTAACAAAAATGTCTCGATTAATTTCTGACCTCTTCTTCTGAGATTTCAGCAACAACTGATGAACCCATCCTTCCTTTCATTACTTTGCTTCCACCGCCAGTCATTGTACCTGGAGAACAGAGAAGTCAGACTTACAGGTATGTATCCCCCCAATAGGATTAAGTAGACTCAATAGCAAAGGAAAAAACTGTTACCTGACTGTTCTATGATTTGCCCTTGTAATGTTACCACTCTCCATCTTCTATCTTTTTGATAAGCTACTCGTGTGGCTTGATCTAAGCTGTCAGCTACTAAGGTATCCCGTAAGGCAAAGTAAAAAGCTTGGCGAATTGCCCCATCTTTTACTTTTACTAAATCAAATAACCGAGGAGTATTCTCAGGAGTTTGAATTTTGGTCATTTTCTTTGCCCACACTCCCATCTAAAAAAAAAAAAAGATGTTTCTTTAGGTATCCTTTATAGAATACACATTACACATTATAGAATACACATGTTAAACATAAGGATATGTATACAAAGTTCTTAGTTATCTACATAACATTACTTTATTGTTATTTAAGAAATAGATATCGTGAAATTATCTCTATTCACAGATGATCTGATCTTAAAATATATTGTGAGGAATCCTCACATGAAAGAACTATTAAAACTAACATGAATTCAGCAAAGCTGCAGAACATAAGATCAATATGTAGAAACTGTATTTCTTACACTAGCAATAAATACTCTGAAAATGAGATTAAGAAAATCCCATTTATATTAAAAAAAGATATTAAAGAACAAACTTAAAGGACTGATTTTAAAGCTTACTACAAATCTACAGTGATCAAGACAGTGTGACATCAATGCAAAGTCAGACATAAGAGGCCAGAAATAAACTCTTACATTTATGATTGGTTGGTTTTTGACGAGCATGCCAAGAAAATTCAATGGGGAAAGAATATAAAAGGTGTCAGAACAACCCAATACCCAAAAGAGTAGCTGGACCCCCCACTTTAAAAAATTAACATGGATTAAAGAACTAAATGTAAAACCCAAAGCTCTAAAGCTCATAAAACAGAGAAAGTAAATCACCCTGACATTAGGATTACATGGTAGCTTCTTAGATATGACACCCAGTACCCAAGCAACCAAAAGTAAATAAGACTGCTATCTAAAATTTGTGCTTCAGAGGATCCATCACAAGAACATGAAAAGATGGCTCACAAAATGGGAGAAAATATTTGCAAACTGTGTATCTGATAGATTTATATCCAAAATATATAAAGAACTCTTACAACAGTAAGACAAACCAATTAATGAATAAGAATCTGAACAGAAGATAAAAGAAATGGTCAATAAATAAGCACATGAAAAAGTGGTGTACAAAAACCTGTGTACATGAACATTCATGGCAGTATTAACCATAAACAGCCTAAACATGGAAACAACACAAATGTCCACCAATTGATGAATGGATAAACAAAATGTGCTACAGAACACAATGGAAAAGGGAAGAGCATTTGGCAATAAAAAGGATTAAAGTGCTGATGATGCAACATGAACTTTTTTTTTTAAAAAGAGCAGACAGAGAACTGGATCTTAGTTCCCATAAAAGGGATCAAATCTCTGCCACTTGCAGTGGAGGCAGAGTCTAACTGCTGAACCACCAGGGAAGTTCCATCATGGATGAACTTTGAACACCAAGTTGAAGAAGCCATAAACAAAAGGCTACATATTATGTTATTTCATTTATACACAATGTCCAGAATACATAAACCTAGAGACAAAAAGTCAATTAAAGGTTGCAGGGGGGTGGGAGAACAAGGGTAGTGATTGCTCGGGTGTATGGGGTTCCTTTCTTGGGGTAATGAATATTCCAGAATTAGATAGTGGTCATGGTAGATCAATCAATTCTGTGAATGTACTAAAACCCATTGAACTATATATTTTAAAATAATGAATTTTACGATTGTGAATTATATTTAAGTGTTTTTCTATTTTTTAAAAAAGTAGTTATTGAAGATGGAAGTTAGCATAGCAAACTACCAGTCACTCCAACATTAGGAATGCATATTACTTTAGGGGAGGCAGTACAAGTTTTTTTTCCTCACAACAATGTAACCCCTAGAGCCTAATATAATCCTCAAGACCTATTAGGTGGTTCACTGAAGCAACTATGAGGAAAAACCTAGGATTCAAAATCAATCAACACCTGGCACTTAAAAACTAAAATACAGGTAGATTATAAATACTCACCTTATCCAAACCTATGAAGGTTGCAACTCCAATATTTTGTCTTTTAAGGAAGTTTACACATTCTTGGGCTGTATCAATAGAATCAACAACAATGTAGTCTAATGCATGACAACAAGATGAAATAGCAACATCGTATTTTTCATCAATTGTTCCTAAGTCCCCCTAATAAATAAGAGGGGGGGGGGAATCAACACACAATCAAATTAGCAGGGAATTAGGCACAGGATCATTTCTATTTATACAGATTTTTCATTTAATTGAAGAACTATACCTACATACAGTTTACAAAAGTACAAAAATGGTATACAATGAAAAATTTAAGTGTCCTTCACATTCGATCTTTCTCTTCTGCAGAGGCAATCACTACTAGGGCTTTTATCCACCTTTAAAAAAAAAACTTATGGATATACAGAGTCTGAAATTTTAATGAGCACAAAATAAACAGAACTGTTTTCCCTGCATATAAGTGAAAATGTATAATGTGATGATTTGAAACCTATAATTGTTATAAGCAAAATAACTTATAGAATAATAAAACTCTGAATTATTGAAAACCATCTAAGTAAATCTGTTTGTCTATCAATAACTTAGCTATCAGGGAGCATTAACCAACTAGTTTCATTTTTCCTTGAGCAGAGGAACAGGACCAAACTGTGTATCTTCAAAAAACTAAGGCAGAAGTCCTTGACATGAAGATATGGAAGCAACTATGCTGGGTAATTTTCATCTGCCCTTCTCAATCACCTTCTTCTGCTTCCTTCTCTGGACGGCTGATTCAGGGAGTGCATTAATTGGTTCTTCTGGCTCTCCAGCTGAAGACAAACTGAGGCACCAGCCAGAAATAGTAGAATAGACGAATGGGGTTGAAACATTTATCTTCCTAACTTCCTTCCAGCTACCTCTAGCCATGGCCAAATTCCCTTCCTTCTTCAGGTTCAGGAGTTCAGACTTCAGGTACCCACTATCCCTAGCCTTAGGTTTTGACAGCATCCTTTGCGATTTTCCTAAACTCTAGCTACAACCCTCAGTATAATTGTATAAAGCTCAGGATATAATTTATCAAATTCTTATTTTTTTAAAGAAAAAAGTAGTTAAGTATATCAATAGAATTGGATCATTTTCTTAAAGTGACTATAACTATCCCAAACTTAATTTTTAATGGGCTTCCCTTATGGCTCAGGGGTAGAGAACTGCCTGCAATGCAGGAGACCTGGGTTTGATCCCTGGGTTGGGAAGATCCCTTGGAGAAGTGTAAGGCTACCACTCCAGTATTCTGGCCTGGAGAATTCCATGGACTATATAGTCCATGGGGTCGCAGAGAGCTGGACACAATTGAGCGACTTGTATTTGCACTTCCCTAACTTTTAATGTGAAAGGATCCGTAACAAAGAATTTTACTATGCCTGAGTGTAAGAGCAAAATGCTTAAAAAACACGTAATATACAGTTATTTTAAAGTTAAGAAAATTACAATATCTGAGAAAAATGTATAGTTACTTATAAATAAATTTACCAGCCGTCCATATATTCCTGGAATTCTGCCAGATTTTTTTTCTTGAATTATTGCATCAAGGACTTTCCCCCTACTTCGATTCATTGCTAAGGAACTCTTTGCTTCTTCAACTTTTTGGAAAAGATCACGAACCAAACTTTTGAAATTTATTTCTTCTTGTGTAAGTTTTTGAAGTTCTTTTTCTTTCTAAAGGTTAAAGTAAAGAAAATGAATCCCCAAAGCAGACACCCTTATTACAACATAGGAAAAGGCCAATAATAATAAACACCTGAACCAGACTATGCCGTCACATTGTAATTGCTGCTTTGATTTTGAAAAATATGGATGGGTTTTCTATTTTAAAGGGGGCACAAATTATCTGGGTCAATAATAAGAACAACCTCAATATAGTCCTAGGAGCAGTGCACCGATTTGATAGAATGAGTAGAGCTAGGGTTGTGGAAATCCCAGTTTTGTACCACATAATTATGCATAAATGTTTCCTAATTCTTATATTCTTACACTAATCAAAAATAGATCTCAATATAGGATTCTAGATATGGGTGACTAGGTATGGCTATGATTAATACTGTGGTTTGCTTTCTAAATAAATCTTTTAGTTTATTATATATCAAATATATGTTAAATTATATAGTGTTATATAGCATAATTCATTATTCTAATTAAACCAAGGAAAACAAAAGCACAGCTCTGAAACAAAGGGAAACATGATGAGTGAACAGTACTATTTCTATACAAAAATGTCAGGCTGCCAACAAAAGAGAAACCTCACACATGTACACACAAATCCTAATTCTCAGTTTCTCAGTCTACCAATTTGGAGCAGTCACTTTTCCAACTGACATTCTCTTTCATTTCCTGGTTTTAAATTACCTCTATTACCAGTCATACTGGTTTCAAGTAGAAGCTCAAGTTATAAACACAATTTACCGAAAAATAAACTGAATCACCAGGAAGACAGAAGTCATAACTGAATATAACCTAAATTTACATTTAAATTCTACATGGCCATGAAGTTTTCTGATGATCAATCAGTGTGCATTTACTAAAATGAAAGAGACTTTATTTTCAGTGTCATTTCGCTTCAAAGAGCATCTTCTATTGAAATTTGCCTAATGATGCTTTGGAAATTAAAGTTATGAAATTCCTTACTCAAGGAGAGGAGAGAAGATTGATGAACTAAGTAAGATATCTTGATTAGTTCAACAACTTGCAGTCCCAACAAAGAAAGTATATTCTTAAGTTCAAAAATAGAAAAATACACTGCGACAGTTGACTTGCATATTTGTTCACACACACACATTTATTAGACTTTCCTGTATCACTGCATAAGTTGTCTACATTTACATTTAGGGAAACAAAACCTTTCTTTCGTTTAAATTATTTCCATGGGAAATAATGATGGTGATAGCAATATCATATGCTGTTTGACACTTGAGGGGAGAACAGTTTCTTGACAGTCTCAGTTTAATCTGTATCAGATGGAGTACTGAAATATTAACCCCATTCTTTTGGGGAAGATTACACTAAACAACAGCATCAAAATCTATCAGTCACACCAGATGTTGAGATTAAAAAAATATAAGTATGTAAATATGTATGAAAATAAATAAAACTAGGGTTGACAAACAATGTTCATATGAAACACAGAAGCAAAGATTTACCTCCTTTAGCTCACGTTCAGTTTGAGGGAGTTTTGCCTCTATATCTCCAATAGCAGCTTTCCTTTCTTTGAGAGTCTCAGAAGCTGCCATTAGAGCTTCTTTGGCTTTACTTAATTGAGACACTGCAGTATTATGACGACTGAGATAGATATCAAGTTCTGATTGAGCTACATCCATCTTTGAACGTGCTTCATTTACTGATCTGCTGAAGTCCATAAGTTCTTTCTCTCGACTCTGTTAAAATATGATAGACCCCCATTTAATCTGAAATATGTGTTTTCAAACCTAAACCAAAGAGGAAACCTACATTTTAAATTTAACTTCATAGATTATGTAAGCATAATATACAGAAGTAAATGTCATAAGTGAATGGACTAACAGTTTTTGCTCAGTTGTGAATGTTCATGGTATATGAAGTCTTTCCCCAACTGATTTAATAACAGCTTAATGAGGTAGCTGCTGCTGCTGCTAAGTCGCTTCAGTCGTGTCCAACTCTGTGCGACCCCATATACGGGATGGCAGCCCGCCAGGATCCTCCATTCCTGTGATTCTCCAGGCAAGAATACTGGGGTGGGTTACCATTTCCTTCTCCAACACATGCATGCATACTGAGTCGCCTCAGTCCTGTCTGACTCCGTGCGACCCTATAGACAGCAGACCACCAGGTTCCTCTGTCTACAGGATTCTCCAGGCAAGAATACTGGACTTGGTTGCCATCTCCTTGTATTTCAATTTAGAGACTAATATGATAAAAAATCATGACCACCAACACACACACCCACACCACTGTAGAATATGTTCAAAGCACTATCCTGAATGTTTTGTATGTATGAATTCCTTAACGCAACAATCCTACGATCATCATCATGCCCATTTTGAGGAAACTGAGGTCAGAGTTTAAATAACTTGTTCAAAGTCATGCACTCACTCGTAAGCAGCAGAGCCTGTTTTTAGCTCCAAAGATACCTAGGTATGAGTCCTGGCTTTGTTACTAACCTAGAATGCCAAGGCACACGGGATCACTTGATATACATGAGATGAGCAAATGTGAAAAATTGATCTATAAAGTATTCTATTAGGAAAATGACTGTATGATACTTAGCCACTTTATCACATAGGCATCCTACTTACAAACTCTTATAGATGATACTAGAACATGTCCGTATTTCAAAACAATCAATTTAGTCTGTCGAGAAACCCCAAAATACTTCACTGAGGTATAATTTACAAAGATCTTACATGTAACTGACTTAAGCAACCAAGAATTAACACAAGACCCATAGCTTTAAAACTATTACACAAGAGCTACAAAAGTAAAGAAGGGAGATGTCAACTTATGGTTAGTGTGGTTCCAAGCATATATAGGTAGTAACCAATTAAATTACCAAGAAAATAATTTAAGAGAAGAGAAAACGTGATGATTAAGTCAACATGAACAGAGAATAGCACATAAAGCAAAGTATCTGATATGCAGTTTCTTCTACCACTTTTAAGTTCTCATTCTCTGTTAACATCTTTTTAAAATGAGAAAGCAGAAAACAAAAAAGGAGAGTGTCTAGGTTGGCTATTTTCGTGGATGTTAGATATTAAAAGCCTAAACTTCTCATTCTAACAGTTCATTTTTTACTATCACTATAAAAACAATCTTTAAGATAGGAGGGGAAAAAAGCCATCAAAATAAACACCAACTGATAAAGAAATCTTACTTCTTTTTCTTTTTGAAGGCCTTGTGTTTCCTGTTTAAGGCTATCCATAACTTCCTTTAACTTTTCTTCTTCTTCTTCTTTTTCTTTCTCAAGGGCATTGTTTCTAGTTGTTGTCTCCCTTATGATATTCTCACTCTTGGCAGGTATACTTTTAAACTCTTCAACCTAAGATTATAAAACAAATTAAAAAGTTACTAGGAGCATGTACCTTTAGGCTATCCAATACCATTAATACCCGACTTATTTAAAAGCATTTCTCAAGATCTTCTAGACCTTTGCAGTTTTCATTGTAATTAGGTTTGAACCAGCTAGCTTTAGCAAGTATACTTCCTTAACTATATGCTGAAATTTCTATATTCAGTCTAATTCATAGAATTAGGTAAAGATAATTCTATGAATCCTTGATTCCTTACAAAAGACAATTCTCCTTGGCTGGGCATTGTATCTTTCTTCCTTCTGCTGTAACTTTATGCTGTAATTAACCTTCTTCACCTACAAACATGGTCTGAGTACATGGAATTCCTTAAAGTATCCTTCACGGTACATTACAACCTACCACATATTACCTTTACACCCCCCCAGTCTCTCTCAAATCCTAAGATCTTTCCCAGCTTTACCCTTTCAGAGTCACCATGTGGGACTAATATTTTATTCCATTAATACCTTCCAGTAATAATCACTCTTCCACAGTTGGTGTCCAAAGGCTAATAACTGTTACTCAAGTTACATCTGGCTTACTCTGTCCAATTTAGGGGTTACTATGACATCCATGGTATTTTGTTTATCCTGGTTATCTATAATTAGGGAGAAATTAAACACTTTCCAAAATGTTATCCCTCAAACACTGATTCATATAAGATGTGCTACTACTGTACACACATAAAGTATTTTGTGAACAAATGCATTTGCTTATAAGGTAAAGCAGAGCCTATGTTATAAGTACCATGTAAATATATGGTACAAAACTTTCTTGAGGGGAGGGGCTTTCAGTGTTGCCTCTATGAATATCTGATTAAACTGTGAATATAGTTTGAAATGCTCCAAATTAATTATTAGTATGGCTCCCAGCAAATTAGGCATTCTGGTCTAAAGTTCATTCTGGTCTTTTAAAACTTCAAACTAGCTAATCAACCCCTTGCTATAAATTATGGCTTCCCCTTCCCTCCTTTCTAAGGGGAAACCCCTGCTGATATTCTTAACTTGATTTCTGTAGGCAAAGGTACTACTTTTAAAAGTCTATGATATGTAACTAAAAACCTCTTTTTAAACCATATATTCCAGGAAGATTATTTTGCCACCAAAACAGAATTATTGATTTGGTAAACAATTCTCCAATCATGTGTATCAGATACATAAGCTCTAAAACTCAAAGTCAATGGATGCAGGATTTCCATAGAGGGTGGGGTTGGGGGGAATTAGGTTCAGAGATAAATCCTGAAGCACTTAACATTCAGAATTCTAATTCATTCTCTAAGGGGCAAGAACATTCATGAAAAATAATACTACATCAGACAGACATGAAATATTAAGAATTTCCCCCACATAACCTACCTTTTCTTTATCTTTTTGAAGTTGTTTCTCTAGTTTTTTGCCTTTACTTGTAGCATGTTTCAATTTTTCCCTAACTTGAACATCTTCCAAATCTAGTTTTGTAAATTTTTCTTTGTTCTCCTCAATAAATTTTGTAATTTTATTCAGCTTCCTAGCAAAGTAAGAAAATTATCAGTCACTATTTTGGATATTCAGATATTTCAAAGTGACCTTACATACCTTGCCTGAAACACCATGTAAATGTACCAAGTTCTTATAAGGTAGGATCCTAATACTACCTGCTTCAAGCTAACCCTCCCCCCTCCATCCATATTTGAAGGAGTTGTTAAAATGTGTGGTTATGAGTTATTTTGTCTTTCAAAGCTAGGTTGGAAATAGTGACTATGATGTCTAGGTATATAACAATTTGACCATTTAAAAAAAAACAGTCAAAACTCATTTTAAAGAATAAAAAAAGAAAACTGCATAGGTAACGGATACTGGTGTCACTGAAGATTGCCATGAAAAAAGTAATGATAAAACTTTAAGACAACTAACCTGTCAGGTTAAATGCCTATTTTTGCAATGATGTTTTGTATTATTGAGTTCTGCCACTAGGGGGTAGCATCCTCCATTATTTAAGACCAGAGTTGGGCACTCAAACCTGTGACAATCATCAACTGGATGAAAGGCAATTCAGTTTTTTGGTTGCAAAAAGAAACCATTTAAAATATTTTATATGCTGGCAAATACATTGCCCTCATATGCTTGTATTAAGTTTATATATAGACACACACACATACATGTCATAAAATAATCTACTTTTAGTACTTTCCAAAAGATTATTACTTCTCTACATCTTTTACAGCTTTATTCTTAGCTTTCATTTCATTTGACAATATATTGCTCTTCTCATTAATTTCTTTGGTATCTTCATTAATTTTTTCCTTTTGAGTCTCCATTTCAGCAATTCGTTTCTGCAGATCATAACTAGAGAGAGAGAGAGAAAAAGCTATCAGAGATCCTAAAGTACCATTTCTAAAACTCTGAAACTATTTTAAGTAAAATCAGCTGTTTCTAAAGTTATCTAGGTCTTTGGAGGGGGAAGGAAGAAACCAACCCAGGGTCAAGGCTAGCATTAGGAACAAAATAGGTTCCATATAAACACAATTAGATCTGCTATTAGATGAATTAAAAAGAACTTCTAAGTAAAACTATTAAGCACAGTGATATTTGTGAACCCAACTTCAAGTAGGATAGTTAAAAATTAACTTCACTACTATGGCAAAAAACTCTAATTTAATAAATTTATCACAACCACTTACAGAATTTTTTTTTACTTCAGTCTTCACATTTCTCTAATACAGGGAGAGAGAACAGATTAGATTTTAATGTCAGAAACTAATAGAAAAGTTGATAAATTAAGGTACTTACATGTAATATTGACAGACATGATTCTTTTTTCTAAATATTTCATTTTCCAAGGTAAGAAATTCAATGGCTATGTTTTTTTCTCCTTCTAAGGCATCCTTTTCCTTTTCCACCATCTTAACTCTGTTTAACTACAAAAGTTAAAAGGATAGAAATTGTTCATATTAAGTGTATTTGAACAGTCTCAATTTAAAATATGCCAACATGAGATAAAAACAAACTACATTCACGAAAGTGTTTCTTTGAAATGTTCATAAGGAAAACATAAAACTTCGCTTAAACAATTATGATCTACCATAACTTGAATTATCTGGCTTAGTAAAATTTGTTAATCAATAAATGAAACATTCTGGTTTACAAAAGCCTACAGAAGATTCACCTTTTCTCCTCTGTGTTCATTTAATATTTCAACTCTCCGACACAAGACTTTAATAGGTTCATTTAGTCGTCCAGAACCAATTATATCTTCTAAATATTCAAGCATACCCTCATCGTGTTCAGTCTGGCCTTTTGGTTTCATCATAGCAATTTGTTCAACTTCACCCTTTAAAAAAAGTAATATTTCACACTCACTATATATGTTTGGCTATATCAGCCTCAAATGAGAACTAGAAACAAGTCAATTAACAAATCCAACATTAATTAGAACTAAATGATGTAAATCAGTAGCATAAAAAGATTTAGTAAGATGCAAATAGGACTTCCCTGATAGTTCAGTGGTAAAGAATCCTCCTGCCAGAGACTTGAGTTCGATCCCTGGTCTGGAAGATCCCACATTCCTCGGAGCAACTAAGTCCGTGTGCTGCCAACTACTGAGCCTGTGCTCCAGAGCCCAGCTTTGCAACAAGAGAAGCTACTGCAATGAGAAGCCTGCAGAACACTAGAGTAGCTCCCATTCGCTGCAACTAGAGAAAGCCTGTGCAAAGTAACAGAGACCCAGCACAGCCAAAAATAAATAAATAAAACTATATAAAATTCCAAGTAAAGATGTTCTAACTTTCTAAACATAAACAATTAAATGAAAAAGGAAATACTATTTTCTCTCATGGTAATAACAGGAATAAGCCAACTGACTGTAAACTAAAGGTTTTGGTACATACAAAACTGGAAAACTTTTGCTTGCAATCATTATTATAACAACTTTTGAACTATAGTTAAAATCTAAGATTAACATTATATATTTGCACTTATGCAGTTCAGTTACAAAGAAAAAAGAAAAAAATCCAGTCAGTAACTTTCAAGGCTGACTGAAAGGCAGCCATTTAGCTTGATGGGGGAGAAAATTTTGTCTGAATATGCTCAGGCAAAATGTTACTTTACTTCACACCAATAGCCTGCTTGTACTCTTTATTACAATAGAAGAAAAGGGATACACAAGTAGAAAAATAAAAACATATCCCTTTTTTTCTGCAAAACAGCTAAGACTGAAAAAAATTTTTTAAAAGGGGGCATATATTCTTTCTCAATTTAAATATCTACAGTATTTATAAATGAAACTTAAAAATCTGGGTTAAAACAGACAGTTTAATGACAAAGTTATATATAATGACAGTTATAATGACAACACATCATATTACCAAAATCTTCAATAAAATTATACACAGTAGGAAAAAAACTAAAGACCAAACAAGAAAGGATAAAACAGTTCCTTTAAAAACTACTCATTAGGGACTTCCCTGGTGGTCCAGTGGTTAGGGCTCCAAGCTTCCATTGCAGGGGGCACTGATCTCCAGTAGGGGATCTAAGACCCCATAATAGGGGGGAAAAAAATCTACTCAAAATCAAAATTAAGAACAATTTTATAGATGACCCCTTTTCTGTACTTTGATAACAGCACATGATTATAAAACACAAGGTGAAATGTTATCCTAAGAGCCTGTCATTGTTTAAATTTCTCTGTAACCTTGGGTACGTATGAATTAGATTTAGCTAAATATTAGTGTTTAAACTAAAACATGTAGACATTTATATAAAGTATTTTGTTCTGCTTTCAATTATCAGTTCTTTCCAAATATTTTAGGTAAGCTTTAAGTTTTAGACAGAACTTAAGCCTGGAAGAGTATCTAAAGCTTTGGATCACAACAGGTGAGACTCTAGCCATCGTACAAGCCAAGACTTATTCAGTTTTTATCTAGCCATCGTACAAGCCAAGACTTATTCAGTTTTTATCTAAACAAGGTTTATCAACAGCAACATTGCTGACATTTTGGGCTGAATACTTTGTTGTGGGGAGCTATGCTGGGTAGCATAAGATGTTGAATAACATCTCTGACCCTACCCACTAGATGCCAGCATGAAGCTTACCCCAGCTGTTGACAGCCTAAACTGTCTCCAGACAATGCTAAATGTATTGGGGGAGAAAGCAACAACTACTCCCAGCTGAGAATCACTAATCCGGAAGTAGTTTAACTTTTTTATGTCTGTGTTTATAATCCAAATATCTGACACCAAATAGTCTAATATTCTAATTCGATTTGAATAGCTGAACACTTACTGTAAGATAAATGAAAATTCATGTCAAAAGAACTTACGTATCTGAGTCAAATCACATAAGGTATTATTTAGGCATATATTTTTCAGATAACCAGAAGTTATGATTTGGTGTAACAATGATAAAAAATATTCCTAAGGGCATCATACTTTTCCAGGCCAAATTATTTACTGAAGTGATGGAATACTACTATTAGGAGACTGCCTAATAAAAACAAAGCATAGTGGTTGCTTGTTTTTGGTCACTTGTTCCTCCCTTTCCAATTAAAATGAAAGATATATAGCTCTGATTTCTTTTCATTCTAACAAGGTTGTCCAGCAGAAAAAAACATTTTCAAGTCAAAGACAAGGACATTTATGAATCAACAATTCCATCAAGTCCCATATAACACTGTTTTCATTTGTTATATGGGATCCATTAAAAAACAGTTATTATCAATTAACACTACTGAATCAACAGGTTATTAGAACATTTAGGCCTCTGCCTGTCAGGTGACTATTAGGACTGCTGTGGTATTTCAACAGCAACCTGAGACCTTTCTTGTGGTTCTGTTCCTTGATGCTCTCTGACTGCCTTAGCACTTGCTACTATGTTTTCTTCCTTGTTTTTCCATTTTGTGTCATTTCATGTATAATCTGAGGGCTGACAGTCTAGGCTTAGAGGACCATCCATTTCAGAAAACGTACCTATCCCAAAATGAAATTACAAAGTAGTTTTAATTTCAAGCTCAGTACATTTTAGAAATAATCTAAAACCTGAATTTAAAGTCACCTTCAAAGCTCCAAATCACAAACAGTGGTAGTATGGTAGACAAAAACCCAAACAAACAAGTTTCAAGTTGCTGTAAAGCTAGCATCTGAAGCTGACAGTTTTATAGGCCTCCTCAATGTTATTTCTATTTTCCATAGCTTAAGTATACTAAGCAAGGTTTTAAACAAATTTCTTCACTGTTGTTTACTACTAACTTCCTATGTTTTAATTTGTATTTACACTCTATCAGAGATATTAAGCAACTGTGGAAAATACCATTTATGGTTTTTAAAAGCAACATAAAAATAGCAAGAATATGTCAAGAGGATATTTATAATATCCAAGGCCTAAACCTTAACTTATTGAACTGGGCAGAAAACCAAGATATTGTGACTCATTTACAGCATTCCTCAATAATCTAATTTACAATAATACAGCTTAAAAATCTAAGAGGAATACCTAGGTACGATGCTTTATCTTTACTGAAACAGAATCCAAATTTTACCAAGCATGAATCATAGGAGATTCAAATATAGTACATACATAATAAAATGTTTTTATCCTAATAAGGAAGGCCTTAAGATTTAAGCTAAATATAGGTGTTTGCATCAAAATTAAATGGTCCAGATTTACTAGGCTTTGACAGTTTGCCTTGGTTGTATTTTTATTTTCTCCATTTTCTACTTTACTGTTAAGTTACTGTTTTTTTTTTTAAGTTACTGTTTTTATGCTATTCTAATAAATTTTTAATTTGTGACCTAACAAAGGCTAAGAAGCTAACGACTGAGGTTAGTACCTGTAAAACAAGTGCATAAACAGAAAGGACAATGCTTTAGGAGGTAGACTGATTGGTATTTATTTTGGGTGCTTAGGGATAGTTTCTTTCATATAGTTGAGGTGTTGAACAAGACACTTTTGGATAACTGAAGTACTACTGATAAAACTAAAACAACTTCTTTTGAAACAGCACAGTCTTATTTCTACAGATAAAAGATCAGAATTCAAGGAAGCTTATATGTTATGCCTGGCGGAGAAGTATACTGGAAAGAAAAAATGAACAGGTAACTCAGATCTTGGTTAATCCAATCTCCAAATTACTAAATAAGAAAAAAAAAATCTTAGTTATTTTAAAATTTTAGTTTATATTTTAAAATATGAAGACAAAAAGCATATGAAGTTGAAAACTGTGACAAAATGAGCTACTGTGAAATCTTTCAGCTAATAAAAACTCTACTTGTTCATACCAAGAATTATGACAATGGGAAACCAGCACTCCAACAAGGTATAAACAGGGAAATGTACAAAAATGTACAAAGTACAATGGCAATTATAACCTAACACTTTTGGAAGGCATGTATAAATGCCTGTAAGGACAAGAAATAGACTTCTACCATCTTTGGATCATTTACAGTATCTCAGTTTAGTGACTCATTAGGAACTCATTAAAATAGCCAACGATGAAATTTTAAATGATTTCAAATACTAGAAATACCTACTTGAAGAACCTACTATACCATTATAAATACTATAAAAAAATTATCCTTATGGACTTCTAAATTTCAGTGCTTTTTAGTCTAAAAAATAAGTTTTCACTTTAGCTGAATTTGTATCACTTAGCCTGTTAATCACTACCACTGGCCAAAGAGCCTACATTTTATTCAAAGCAACCACCTATGTCTTAGATGATGATATTCTGATGGTCCCAGGTTCCCAGTCTCCCAAACTAGTTAGTTTTTAAGATAAATGTTATTTAGTGGGAGATAAGGTAATGAAAATTGTATTCTTACTTACCTTCAAATGTTTTATATCTCTAGGGCAGGAGTCTAAGATTTTGATAAGGAACTAAATAAAAATCCATAAAAACCACTGATACTTTCCCTCAAACTTTTAAATTATCTATCTAGTCCAGTCCCTGTTTCTTCTTCCTAACAGGTGAGCCCTTAAGATTCTTATCTGTAAATTTAATCAAACGGAATTCAATTTGTTAATGTGGAAAGTTTACCTTGGTATTAAAAATGATTTCAACAATGTAACTGTTAAGATGATTAAAAACAAGTTGAGATTATGGGGATAAAGGGCTTAAGCATCCTGGACACTTTAGAAGCACATATTGAATACAAAATTTACAATTTAAGAGCTACTCTTATTTACCTCTTTGGGATGTTACTTTATTTAATTCCCTTTATTCATTGATTTATGTAGAAAGGCTATACCAAGGAAAAAAAATTACCCTTACAAGAGTTAAAATGCAGTCTATTTTTATAAGTCTACGTACAGGTGTAAAACTTTATCTCAGGGTGATAGTAAATACACAGCAAATAATAAGAGAAACACAACAATAAGCTCCTGCAAAATGGTATCATTATCAAATTTAGTTTTCTAATGGGGCATAACTTTTTAATCCATAATTAACCAAATCAAATCCCAGAACAGTTAAATTTGATTACAAAACACACATAGCTTTAACCCCACATTTATGTAAATTCAAATCTCATTTAGAAATATATCTGCTAATGATTTCCCAACATCCATTTTAAATTAAGTTTGGGTTACAGAAGTATACAAATGAACTGGTAGCAAGATACTAACATAAGTCATCCCAGAATGATATTTATTTACTTTCCACATACATTATGTATAAATAATTTTTATTTTTTAAAAATAGTTGAAAAATATAGACTAAAATGGAAATAGCAGCTAACATTTTGTAAGTTTCTTACTGGGAACACTCAGCCACACTAACAGAACTTTCTCAAACATAGTGCAGGACACTAAAGAATATCAGCTGCTATTTCTACATCACAATAGTTCTCCTCTTAAGCCTTGCTTTCACACTAACAAATTTCTTGAAAGGTAAAACATAGAGAAGATAAGGGATTTTCTTATCAAGCAAATCTGGTAGAAAATATCTTTACTCAAATAAAGAAAAGAGTTTCTAATAAAAATCAACTTAACACCAAGTTCTTAATGTTATACCTCCTTAAAAAGACTTTAACAGTATGATACTTAAGAATGAAATATCACTTTCTAATTTTCCAGTAGTAGTGGTTCAATAGGCCATTTAAACCAAAACAAAGAGCTTGTATGAGCTTTTAATTGACCATATTGTTTAAAAAAAATAAAAAATTAAATCAGAGAAGTCTGTCAAACACCTAGTATTCAGAGTGTTTTTTTTTCCTTTTTTTGGGCGTATATATTAGTAGAGATTACAAATAAGAACAAAAGTAAAAGAACTATTAAAAGATAACAAATCTTATTTAAAATGTTATCATAAAGAGAAATACAAACAGAAATGATAAATAGTTGCTATGTCCCTGTCACGCTAAAGCAGCACAATAATATTGGTGTTTAATATTTATTTTACTACGCCAATATTTACGTGCTGCTAGAGCGGAACAAGTATGTCAGTCCATCCAAACAAAATGAGCATATGATGATGAAAATACAGTTTTGAATGCATTTCCTTAAATTTCTAGAGCAGCAAATAATGATTCGCATCTTGACTGTAGTATGTAAACCATGATGTGCTGCTACAGTACTTTAAGGCCTCAAAAATACAGGATTCATCCAATAGGAAAAAACCTCTTTACACTTTTATTAAAAGAAAAAAAGAGAGAACCTCTGATGTCTTAATAAACTTACCTGTAAGATTAAAAATCTATTATGGTCCAAGTCAATTCCATGGCTTCGAAGAAGAATTCCAACATCCTTAAATGTAGTCTTCTTCCCACTTACGTGATAAACAGAAGTATTATCTCTGTAGGCCGTTCTGGATACATAGAAGTTACTGTTAGGAATGACTTCATAATCATCCCCTTCCTGTTTTGAGGAAAAACAAAACCAGAAAACAATTGCTGGTGTTAAGTCATAAGTTTGCTTCAAACTTCACTCAATTCATATTGAAACCAATTCTATGGATTAAGAACTTTAACTAGATATGTACAAAAGCTGACAACAGTTCTAAGAATTAATTATCTTAGCAAAGAATAGAAATAATTTTCTATTTCTATGGAGTTCTTGGTCTCCTTCCTCACAGATCACAAAAACCAAAAAGTCAAACCAACTACACCTTCAAGCCTAAAAACATACATAACAGAAAAGAACTGAAGGGAAACAAAAATCCCATTGTATCCAAAACAAACTCACCCAAAATATTAAACCACCTTGATAGATTACATTAGTTCATTAAAAAAAGCTGCAAGGGATGATTCAAGGAAAAAGGGAGGGGATAGTAGTGCAGTGATGTAGATTAATTTTTGGAGGGTGGTGGTGGTGAAAAATAAGCTATTAATTAAAGGTAAAAAGAACTGCAAAGAACTGACAACTACATTTCCCTGTTTTTTAATCAAACAAAAAGAAATGAAGGGCAAATCTGCTTTAACATTAAAACTTGCTTTCCTTTAAAAACTATGTCATTTTGAAATCATGACTTTTAAATTTCACACAAATCAAGTGTAATTAATAAGCTACAAAATCAAATCAGATTTACTGGCTATCTACTTTCCAACCCAAACTGTATAACAGAAAAGCACTAAGAAACAAAATTAAAATATATACTACCATGAAGATTTATTTAAAGCTCTTTATATTAAAATTAAAAACAAAACAAGACCTAGAGGTGAAATCACATCCTCATTTCATTATGTAATTAGTTTTCTACATTTTTAGGTTCCAGCCAGTTTTGAACTATGAATTCTCAAAGCTGATTCTTAAACAGAAGAGAAAAAACCCCAGTAACAACAGAGCCATGTAAATAACCCAAATATGCATTTTATGTACAATTGTCTCCTTTTAGAGGAAAAAAAAAAAGTTAGTTTATCCTTCTACTGTTTTAAAAGTTGATATGAAAGCAAAGTTCTTTCATATCACACATATAGATTCCTACTAACTTTAATGTGAATTGAAATAAGGAGATGGTAAAATTAGTCAACTGTTACATTTTCAAGTTTAGGTAACTTATCTGAAAGCAATGAAAACATAACTTTAAAAACAAATCCAAAATTTATAATAAAAGAATGCCAAATTGGTACTCAAGATACTAGAACTGCTCAAAAAGGTATTACTATAAACTACTTATAATTCATTTCCCTGGCTAAAAATCTTAATATTTTAAGTTTAACAGCCACCATCACACCTCAAAAAGAAAATATGATCATGGAGGCAATGAAATCAATATTAGTTCTGCTTTAACCACATACTATTTTTTACAAGCTAATTTAAGCCCCAAATAATAAAATGTGTAATGCAATGAAATCCTGTGTTCCTTACTTGCAGATGCAAATAACGAAACAAAATCCCTTACCTTATCAATTATCTTTTGAAAATGAACAGCTACAGTGCAACTCTGAATATCCTTATGTTCATCAGAATTGTGTATTAGAACTGAGAGTTTTTTAGATCTTATTTTTTGGGCTCGATAGCCAAATACAAAAAGCATAGAATCAATAACATTGGATTTGCCACTGCCATTTGGCCCAATAATACAGGAAAATCGCTGCATAAAAAGAACAGAAAAAAAAAGTTAAAAAGGTTGTACTACTGATTTTAATTTAAAATGGTTTAACTTGCAGCAAATCTACAAGTATTTAAAAAGCTTTTCCTGCTAGAAGATCGTTTTCATACATCATATCTTGTATGTTACAAGTTTCAACACTTTAAATAAGATCATATTCTAATTCTGACTCAGACTTTTTACAAAATTCATTTCTACAGTTAAAGAGAAAATAATTCTTTTCAAACATAAAACCCACAAATTCTATTCAGTGAAGAAAATTTTATAAAGAAAGGTACCAAAAGATAACCAGATAAACAAAAGCTAATTTCAGTAGTTAAAAGCATAGAAACCACACCATGTATGTATCAATCAGGATAAATACAATTAACTACAAAACTGAAACAGTTTGTAATAACAAATACCTTACAACAGCTATTTAAAAATGGTCAAATACCTTATGGAAAGGTCCCAGAATTTTTTCCCCAGCATAAGATTTGAAGTTCTGGTTTACAATATGAGTTATCATAAGACGAGGAGCTCCAGGTTCATTGGTCATTGCAGGAGGTGGGGGAGGAGGGATGCTATTCAAAATCTCTTCTAAACTTCTATTATCAATTTCCTCACTTGGAGTTTCTAAGTCAGTCAAAGGAAAGAATAAAAAAGGGGAGAGGGGAAGCCTGCATCAGTCAATTTGTTAGCCTGCTAATCTTTCGAGAGACGTCGTTTATGGAACCTAGGAATCTCTATTTTTTACTCAAATACAGTATTATATTCATAAAAGATGAGAGTCTTTAGGCTTTGTCTTATAAAAAAAGAAAATTTTTGAAAGAGATGCCATCAGTCACAAAATTCTATAGAAACATACCTTGTAGGAGTCAATACACTACATCGTAATGCAAATCTGGAAAATCCATCATCACTTGAGTCCCTGCTCCCTGCCTAAACAGGTGGTCAAATCCTAGGGCTCTAGATCCAACTCTCAGTATCCGTTAAGCACCTGGAACCTTAACTTTGGACACTGGCGAGCTCCAGTGACAGTTACAGGGGTTTCAACTCACTCAATTCCTGGACTCACAAAACCTACGGCGCCTGCGGCCGTAGGAGCAAATTATCTCCTCTTTGAAATTTTAGATCACCGAGGTGAAGTTGTACGATCAAGCAACTTTTCATCATATTAACAAATAGTTAAGCTGACACTGAAAAAAGTCCACTCTGGCTGACCATGTCGATTTCCGCGAAATATAAGGCAATGACCAGAAGTTCAGAATTGAATCTACTTACTAGCCCCCATCCCTCCAGCACCGTTAACCGAAATTTCACACTCTCGAATCTGAAAATCGCTTTCTTGACCTTCGGATGTCAACCCCGCAACCCCTGTCGTCCGCGCCCGGGAATACCAACTGTCCCGGGTTGGGTGCCGGGTCTCCACGCGCTTGCCCTCGGCGTCACGAAGGGTTACTCACCTGCGGTGGCCAGCGCCTGGCTCCTCGCGCGGCCGGGCGGCGGATCCGGCTCCGCGTCGCTGCTGGTGCCGTCCGGGGACCGCGGCGGCCCTTCCTCTCTGCGACGGGCAGTGGAGGGTTGGGTGCCTTTACGGGGCATGGTCGCTGGAGCCGAGGGAAAGCCGGGAGCAAGTCAGCCCGTGCGGGCCGCCGGCCGTGCCGGCAAGTTCCCCGCCGGCCCGCGACCCGTCCCACTCGAGGAAAAACTGCGTCCACCCGTTTTCTAGGCTCCGTTTAAAAACCCCGCGCAACGCCAGCGAGTCCTCGGGAAAGGCACAAAAAAACAAGTGCCAAGAAGGCGGGATTCGCTCAAGTTCTAAGCAAGTTCCTAGACGTGCTTGCGGAGCCAGCGAAGAGAGCAACTGCTTAAGTTCTTTTTATTTTTTTAATGCCCACCCCCCCCGCCGCCCACAGTGCAAATGTTTAAGAATACTGTAACGTCATTTCTAAACGAAGTTATATCCCGCACGCCGACATTTACAGACATTCCCACACTCTCGGGGCTAGGGATCCAAGCGCACAGATTCTTGTCTCTGAGTCCGTTCTAGCTTTAGGTTTGAGGGGTTCTCAACTCTTCCCAGAGCAGTCGGGAACGAAGTGGCGGTTCGGCGCCCACCTTCCTCTCCCCGCCATTTAGCCCTTGGCGCGGCTGACGGCCCGGGGGCTTTGAGGTCTCCTCAAAGCCGGCCGGGGACCTGAGGCTGGGGTCGACCTCTCGCGATTTTCAAATCGGAAGCCGGCAGCACCAGCTCCGCTTCCATCACCCTGGGGTGGCAGGGGTTTGTCCCTCTGAGGTCCACGGCGAATTCCGCTGGACAATAAACTACGAAAGGCCACCAGTAAGGGCTCAGACTCAGTGATTAGTCCCTCGGGAGAAGAGAAACGGGCAGAGGGCCGGGACGGGGGAGATGTCGTAGTCCGACCAAGATTTCTGAGAAAAGGTCCGCGAGGGCTGAGAGGGCCCCCCGCCCCGCGGCCCCAGTCCCACGATCGACGCCTAAGTAGCTCAGAGAAGTGGCGCCCGGGAGAAGCGCGCGGGAGCTTCGACCGCCGGGGAGCGACTGAGGGGGGAGGGGTGACAGCGAGCGAAATCTCCCCGAGGCAGCCTCAGCCTAGACTTCGGCTGCTCCAGCTCAAGGCCTCTTTCCAGGCGCCCGCGGACCGGGCAGGAAGTGAGAGTGTGACAACCGAACAGGAAAAAAAGTACTTTACCTGCGGGATAGTCTTCTCAGACCGAGGCTGGAAACGGTTGTATAGCCCCCCCCGGCTGCTACCGGTGTTTCGGCTCCGGGTCCTTCACTCGAAAATGGCGCCTAAAATACAAACTCGAACGGAAATTCGTTACAAATGCGCGCAATGCTTTCTGGGAACCACTAATTTGAAAAAAATGCGGCGATTATCGCCATCTTCTGATACCTTATGCGCATGCGCGAACTCCTGGCGGAACCCACGCTGCAGGGAACGTTTTCTACTAAGTGAAAAAGACGAAACAGTGTTTTCCATGGCCCTACGGCGATAGCACTCTTATAAATTTTTTTTTAAAAACCTTGCGAATTTTGAGAAAGATAAAGTGGAATTCGCCCTGCAGTTTAAGTCAAGGATCAGTCATCCAATAACGTCCCTTTAGAAGAGGGCGGGCCCACTGAGGGGCGGGGTCTTAGGCCCGCTCGGGTGACGCGCTGAGGGGAAGTATCGCGCGAAGAGGGAGTGAGCTTAGCTCTTAGAAGTCGCTATGGTGACAGGGAGGTCCGCTGCTTCTTGGTAACTGGTCCCAGTTCTGTGAGAAAGATCGATCCCGTTTTCCTGGAACTTAAGGTAAGTGTTTACTTCCAAGAGAGAGGTGAGGAAAGGGTTTGGAAGTTGTGGCCTTTACTGTATTCACCTTTCCTGCTTTGACAGTGTGTGCGGCGTGGAGCATTGGTTATTTCCCGTCTCACTGGGCGCTCTGGACGTAGCTTTTGGGATGCGAAGGAGGAAGCCTTGAATTTGGAGGGAGCAGAGGGGCAACACGGAGGAAAGATCTGGATTGGTGAATGATTGTGTAGTGAATACCAAATAATGATTTCGGGTTATTGGTGTTAGGTCATTAATGTCACTAGTGAAAGGGGGTTTTGAGTTTTTTAAATCATTCGACTGAAAGACTCTAATGGAAGAAACGATTTGCTTGCTGGTGTCGTCTGGTTATGAGGAAATTATTAATCAGCAGATATTTCTTAAGTAGCTTCTGTATACACTGCACTCTCAGGCATAATCAGGATTATTGAGCAAGTATTCCTGTTCCCAGATAATTTAGTTTTGTTAATGGGTTTTTAACTAGGAGTTTGTGGATCTGGTAGTAGGTGATTGGGGTTCAGAGCAGTTCATACCACTTCTCCACTACTCCAGCCCCTGCCCGCCCCCGGAATTGAGTACAAAATTCTGTGTGCTTGTGAATTTTTCTGGGGAGTTAGTTTTTCCAGAACTTTGATCAGATTCTTAAACTTGGTCCTATCCCATCTCAGTGTTAACCATTGAATAAGTCCAACAAACATTTATTCAGAGACTCTTAAGTACTTGACTGAGAACTGGGAGTCTTTTTTATTCCCCCTTTTAACTTTTGCATACTTAGGACTTGGCATGCTGAGGCTCCAATAAATCAGCTTTATGAGTGAATTTACATTGTCATTCTAAGTAAGAAAGTATGATTCTTGCCCTGAGGAACATCATATTAAGGTTCAGTGATTCTCAAGAATTGAAGGTGTGGAAGACACTCCCCTGAAGTGTAAGAATTCGGTGAGGTTGAGAGACTAAGGTGATTTGAATAAACATTGACTCCGTATTGTAATATACTTTTTTTATTTGTAGTTGTAAAAATTATTTTCATAAGACGAACTACAGAAAATAAAGCTCAATGAAAAATTTGGTTGGTAGGTGTACCAGGACAAACATCAGTTCTGTTTGAAATCATCTGGAATCTTTTGAATTTTCAAGTCTGTAAAACACTACTAAACCCAAGTTGGAGAGATATTAACCCTGAAAAAAAGCAAAGACTAGACCAAATTGAGTAATGTATATGGGAGACAGAGCACCATGTAGTAGAAAGATGTAACAGATAACAGAATCTCAAGTCGCATCATTTTTTTAAAGCTACCTACTTAGACAATGTACTCAGTTTGTCAAACTGTTTATTATGAAACCAGCATATAATACCTACCGCGTAGGATCGTTTATGATTGTTCATCTAGCATACACACTGCATGCATTTGATATTGCTGTGTTTATAACATTGACCTTGTTAGCGTATGTGCTAAGGTTGAATAATGGACTGTCAAGTTAGAAGAAGGTTAGTTTATGAAGAGTCTCGAAAACCAGGTCAAGGATGTTAGATTGATAAATCTTCAAAATATTAGAAAAATTTTGAGCTATGGAGTGACTTGGTTAAAAAAAAAAAGTTAACAGTTATGTGGGATGTGTAAAAAGAGAAAGAGACTGAGATCAAGCATGGCTTAGATCGTTACTGTCCACTTTTCCATGTAGGAGGTGAGAGGTGCCTATGCAGTAGAATGGTAAAAATTTGGACACATTTAACAGTTAATAGTCTGAGCCCTTAAAGTTAGTCAGATAGTATACTTTGTGAATCCCTAGATTAGTGATGAGGGGATAAGAAAGATAAGCCACAAATAAATCTTAGTTTTACTACCTTTGATGGTTGTTGTAAATAATGTTTGGTCTTAGTGACTGATAAGAAATGTAATTTCAGAAAGTAAATAAAGTGACCAATAGCTTTAGATTTAGTTAAACCTGACCATAAATATTTTTTAAACAGAATAAATACTTTTTAAACAGGCTTAACTCAGACTGATAATGTAGAACAGACATTGATAACCAACAGCTACAGTGGAGACAACTCTAGAGTGAAAGTAGGACACTCAGAATAAGTGAAGAAGTGATCAGAGAAGAGATTAGGGTCACAAGAGGTAGACTTACTCCCTCTTGATTGATCCTTGCCAGTACTTTGCATAAAAAGAAGCTGGTTCTGTTGGGATGAACTCAAGTTAAAACCATCTTGGAAAGTATAACCAAGTCTCATCTTTCTGGTCCCAAATCATCTACTAACAGCCATTATCTATAATTTCAGGTAGTTCGAGAAGAGAACCTTACTTTTTGTATTTTAAAAAGTTGTACCCCACGGGAAGAAATAATAAGTTCAAGGGGAAAAATTGGAATAGAATTAAAATTAACATCTGCAGTTCTTTAAATGCATAGTTAAGTTTTGTCATCGTTATAATAATATGTGACAGAAGACGGAATCCAAATTGTCTTGAGGAAAAAAAAATAGCTTCCGTAAGCAAGAAGTTCAGTTCAGTTCAGTCGCTCAGTCGTGTCCGGCTCTTTGCGACCCTATGAATTGCAGCACGCCAGGCCTCCCTGTCCATCACCAACTCCCGGAGTTTACTCAAACTCATGTCCATTGAGTCGGTGATGCCATCTAGCCATCTCATCCTCTGTTGCGCCCTTTTCCTCCTGCCCCCAATTCCTCTCAGCATCAGGCTCTTTTCCAGTGAGTCAACTCTTTGCAGGAGGTGGCCAAAGTATTGGAGTTTCAGCTTCAGCATCAGTCCTTCCAATGAACACCCACGACTGATATCCTTTAGGATGGACCGGTTAGATCTCCTTGCAGTCCAAGGGACTCTCAAGAGTCTTCTCCAACACCACAGTTCAAAAGCATCAAGTTTTCGGCATTCAGCTTTCTTCACAGTCCAACTCTGACATCCATGCATGACCACTGGAAAAACCATAGCCTTGACTAGACGGACCTTTGTTGGCGAAGTAATGTCTCTGCTTTTTAATATGCTATCTAGGTTGGTCATAACTTTCCTTCCCAGGAGTAAGCGTCTTTTAATTTCATGGTTGCAATCACCATCTGCAGTGATTTTGTATAACTGGATTTAGTATTCAAAGAAAGAACTAGGACTGTGTTTCTTTGCTCTGCTTTATGTTCCCTTGTCTTGCATTATTCTCAGACCTCACATAGCGGCCTGCGACACCACCATGCTCTCCCCTTGCTGTGGTAAGATAGTTATAGTAACTCTAGCCTTGAATCTAAACTGGAAAGCCTGGAAAGTTAAGAAGAGTCTTTCTTCCCTCTCTTTTAGTTGAATAAAAGTTTCCTTCAGAAATCTCTAATTGACTTATGCCTAGGTCTCATGCTGACTCCATTGAAGCCATATGGGCTAAGAGGGAGTAAGTGGTATTCCAAGAAGAAATTCTTTGTAGCTCAGAACAGAGTGAATATATGAAGGATAATGAAATACCAGCTTTCACTACAAATAGCTAATAGTTGAGTTCTTCCTATGTTTCAGGCAATCTATTGGACATTCGTAAGATGTCTTTTTTTTTTCCCCAATCTCATGTCTACTCTATCTCATTTAACATCATAACCAACCTGTGAGGTAGGTATTATTAGCCTCATTTTATATATAGAAGAAAACAAAGTACAGTGTTTGGAAGATCACTAAGTGAAGGTTTCAGTAAGAAGTATGTCAAATGCAGTAGAAATTGCAAAGAGAATGAGAATGGTGGATCTTATGAAAAAATAACATTTATTAGGTTTTTTTAAATGCAGATATGCTTAAAGAAAAAAGCAAAACTAAACCATGAACATATCATTCAGATAATCCTATGTTAAAACTATAAATGTATGGATAAAATATTATGAACATGATAACTTCAAACAGTATAGAATAGTATGAAATGAGGATTAAAAGCTTCCCTTTTCACACCAGTGTCTCTACCCTTACAAAGTCTCCATTAAGTGTCTTGCACATCTTTTGAGAAAAACATTTTAGTATCCACTAACTTGAGCATATATCTCCTCCCCCCTCATTTTTTTTAACACAAAATAGATTTGAGTTACATAATACTACCGTATACTTTGTTTTTGAGTTTGTCAGTTGAATGTGATTTTTTTCTCTGCTAGTTGAATTAAAAGGATGAATTAAAGATGACTAGTTATTTTTAATTTTGTGAATCACATGGTTTATTGGCTCAAAGTTATTAGGCCATCCTGGATTATAAATATAACCAATATGAATAAGATTAAAGTATAGCTAGCTCTACTTAGAGCTAGAATTGCAAGGAAATGTGAATACCACTCCCTATACATACCTGGGAAGCCCCAGTACATACACTTCAAATACGTACAGGAGTTGGAATAGGGTGGCGGTTGGAGGTCTTTAGTAATTGAACTATACTGCCAAGCCTGTTTCCATTGTTATTAGGTGTTATTATCTGTCCCTGGAAATGGTGCATCTTCCCCTGCCTTCGCTGTTATATATGAGATCCCAGCTTAGTCTACAAGTGGTTCTGTGACGGAACCAATCTGAGTAAAAGTCTGCTTCTCTCTCACTCCTGTCTTTACTGGAAAAGAGACTTAGGAGTCTCATCAGAGGTATCAATTTAGAAAACTGTTGATAAGAATTATACTTTTAAAAACAGAGCTTTGGGTAATCATCAGCAAACCATTAATTTCAACTGTTAGTATCAATACCCATGGGTTAGCAAATATGCAAATGACCCAAACAGAACCTGTTGGGAACAAACTTGTGATCTAGTGCTTGCATTTGTTATCTGTCCTTCATATTCTTATTCACTTCTGAGGCTCTCTTCTATGTCTTATCTATACGTATATTCTTGTTGACAAGTCATACCTTCCCTCTTTCCCTCCTAAAATTTTTCTCATTTTCTTAGTGCTTTCACCTTCTAGTTTTCTTTCTTTTTTT